GCACCATCTAGTTCCATGGTAAGCTACGAGGCTTATGTTATGGATACCAGATAGTTGATACACTACACATATATAACTTTAAATACATACATATTATAAATATAAACATTAAACACCCATGACTGGAGTACAAACAGTCGTGATCATAACTCAAATGAATGCCCCCAGCGGGACTCGAAACCGCGACCACTGGTAAAGCAAGTAGGGTAACTATAAAATGAGCCAAACATGTCGTCAATCGAGCCAATCTGTAGATGGTTAGGGGTCAGTAGCCTGCCTAAAAATATATAGCCTGCTTAAAAATATGACATAAAAATATACTTTTGCAATATTTTTTTCAATAAACAAATCATAAAATTATGTAAAATCTCAAACCACCGCCTCTTTCTCCTTGGAACAATGGAAAGCGAACTTAAGATCGTTTTAAAACAGAGCAGCAAAGAACAATAAACAAAATATTTTGTACAATACTTTATTCTTCATTTAGTGGAAGGTTAGAACATCGAATGTCAAATCAGTAGCGTGAAGGTTAGATAAAATAAATCTAATTCTAATCAGGGATTACAAACTCAATTTTTTCTATTACATATCTAAATCTCAATTATTTCTATGATATCATTTATAAATTTATCAAAATTAATTTGGATTTATTTTCTTTATAGATTTAATTTTGACTAGCGACTTATACTCGCTTCGCTCGGGTGTGTCCCTAAGTACGTTTTATTTTTTTTGACCGGAACACTAATTCCTTTTGTAAAATTAAAATAGCCTAAGTTACGCCTTATAACATCAGCTATCTGCCAGTGAAAGTCCCGTCATAATCAGTCCAGCCGTTTCGGAGATTAGCCGGAATAAACAGACAAAAATAATTACAATTGTGTTTTTCTTCTAAGTACCTTATATAATTTCATATGCATTTAGTAAAAAGCTGTTATTTTTACATTACAAACAGACACTTCAGTTCTGTTTATCTGTATAGATAAATTTTTGAAAGTCTCTAAGTTTATAAAATAAGCCTTTATAAAGCCTTTAGAAACCTTTTAGGACTGTTCAGTCAAATAAGATAATACTTATGAATATGTACGTATATTACAAGACATAATTTACATACAATATATAATGCATAAGAAAATATTTTCTGTTTCACAAGTTTATACATGCTGTGTATGTTATTTAGTATCTGGTATACCTATATTTAATATTGAAAAAACCTTTAAAAAGAGGGTAGAAATTTGTATGGAAAATCAATTATTCCTCAAATAGGGGATGTAAAACTCATCATTACTGTGTATGTACTCTTATAATCTGTCTATTCCATACTAACCGTCAAAAAGTACCAAGGAACGTACCCGGGAGAAGCTAGGTGAGTCGCTAGTATGATGAATGATGATGATGTTCTCTGATAGTATAGTGCATAAGTGTACGCGCAGACACAACGTGCACTCTCTATTCCTGTCACTCTCATACTCCGGTGGGACGACTGCTCAACACGACCGGTGAGAGTTAAGGCGCAGGACCGACGGCTTTATGTGCTCTCCAAGGCACGGGGGTGAAACACCGCCAACTTCCCAACTCCGGGCTGTTACTGAGACTTACTATACAGAAAGACTCAATAACTAAACTTGACCCGACCCGGGACTCGAACCCAGGACCTCCGAGTCTGCAGCCGTACCTGCTAGCCACTACACCACCGAGGCAGTCGCTAGTATATACATATAGATAGATAAGTAATAATGTATGCAGTCCTTTAAGAGATGTACTTATATATAAGTCAATCAGCCTTGACCCGACACACCTTAGTTAATTTTCGCTACACTTTACCTCGTACGAAGTAGAGCACTAAAGAAATCTATACTAATATTATAAAGAGGTAAAGTTTGTGACTTTGTGAGTTTGTGACGTTGTAGGGGGTAATCTCTGGGTCTACTGAATCGATTTGGTTGAAATTTGGTATGAAGATAGTTTGAGGCCCTAGAAAGGACATAGGATGCTTTTTATCCCGGAAATCATCCCTTAATGGGTTGAAAATGGGGATGAAATTTTGTATGTGGTATAAACCCAGGGACGAACCCGAGCGTAGAGAGGGTGAGTCGCTAGTATTATTATAATTATAATATTTGTCAGCGATTTACTTTATTAATTCACTTTTTCAATAAATTAACACACATCTAAGTACAATAGGTTTAAGAGAGATAATAGTGAATTCAATTATCGCACGCAGCAATCAATGTTTTAAGTAATTATATACTATATGTATGTTTGTTGCTTCATTTTCTCTGTATCTAACAAGAGAAAGTTCAAAACAATCTTAATACATATTAAATTTTCTATATATATATATATATATATATATATATATATATATGCATTTATGTAAATATTTAATAAAAGTATCTATTTTCTTATATCATAAACGGTCGTGCGTCAGACGATCCTTGACCGCTAATTGAGCCAATATACTCTTGCACACCTGATACGGAATTTTTGTTAACATAAAGATATTACATACATATAGAACATGCATACATTTTTGTATATTATTATTCTTTTTGGACTGTCAGTAAAATATTGGTAAAAAACTAAATTTTGGTGTAAACCTTAGTCTGTGTTCAAAGAATTTTGATAGTTATACTGTTTGGAAAATGGCGTAATAATATTATTTCCCTAATCCATACGTCTTCCATACTTACTTTTTAATGTTATAAATGGATAAAATGTTATTTATGTTTGTTTGTTTGTTTGTTTGTTTGTTTGTTTGTCCTTCTTTCACGTCGAAACAGAGTGCCGAAATGGCGTGAATTTTTGTGTGGAGATAGTTGGAGGGATGGTATGTTATACTCTAGTTTATGTGTGTTTTGTGTTTGTTACTCGATTAACCTATTCTATATAGTATGATATCTTTGCCAATTTTTAAACAATTTTTTGAGAGCGGTCCTATATAAATAAAAAATACATCTTGAATAATGTTTCTGATGGAATATTGATTCTTGAATAATTATGTATTTGAAAAGTAATTATTTATTACGTAGTGTTAAAATTATTTTTACACATTATTTTGAACCGTCTTATTTTCTGTAGATAGTCTTAAATAATTATATATTATGTAATATATGTATGTAGAATGTTATTACACATTTAGCATAATCGTGTTATATACTTTCGATTTATATATTATAAATGCGAATGTTTGTGAGGATGTATGTATGTCTAGATGTATAGATGTATGAATATTTGTTACTCTTGCAAAAGCTACTTAATGGATTTTATTGAAACTTTACAATAATATAACTCATACATCAAAATAATACAAAAGCTACTTTTTATCCCAGAAAAATGTATGGTTCCCGTGGGATAGATTTGTTTTTGTGTTTCTAGAGGCGAACCCGAGCTAAGCGAGGGTGAACTGCTAATTATTAGGAAATAACTTTGAAATGCATGCAAAATTTCTTTTTGTTTTTTATTTTATACGGATATATTGATATTACTACATATGTATAATTTAATAAATTATATACCTGTTATTGATATTTCAAAAAAGATTTTTTATGATAACTGGTTATTTTTTTATTACCTCGTGGACTTTAACTGTATATCTGTAAGTACTATACCAGATAAAAAAAATCCTTTTCCTGGCATTAAAGCAATATTTGTACTTTATAACTTAATAGTGATCGAAACAAAATGGTTACTTTTTAAAAATTGAAATAAAATATGGTATTTGCAAACTTTTTTACTAAACCGCTTCTAAAAGGTTAGTTGTTTTAAGTGATTTACTTGTAATAAAGTATAAATTAAGTCTTAATAAAAAATTATAACTTCTAACATGTGAAGGATGTTTATAGTTTACGTCACAAACCTAACGGGTTCTATTCCCATCAGGTTAAATGCATGTGCTTGTGATAATAATAATAATAATTTTTTTAATTTGTCTGTAATATTAATAAGAAGATATTCTTACTATTCATTACATTCAGAGACACCTATTTTTCAAATGTCAGCAATGTCTATGACATACGGAGAGACGGACATGACAAAATTATAAGGGTTTTCATTTTGCTTTTAGGTTACGGAACTTTAAAAATGACTGAAGAATAGCCACTTACACTAATAATAAATAAATAAATATGTTGGGACATTAACACACAGCACCATCTAGTTCCATGGAAAGCTACGTGGCTTGTGTTATGGATACCAGATAGTTGACACTACACATATACGAGTATAACTTTAAATACATACATATTACAAATATAAATACCCATGACTGGAGTACAAACATTCGTGCTCATCACACAAATGAATGCCCCCAGCGGGACTCGAACCCGCGACCGCTAGCACAGCAAGTAGGTCACTACAAACGGAGCCAAACGTGTCGTCAATTTACTAATAAGTTCAAAAACTCATCTGGTATATAGATCAATGCCACTTAAAGTCTGTCACAAACTGTAGTGCGATACTGCATCAAACAAATGCGCGTACCAAGCGAGTGATCCGTCAATAAACGAATGTCAATACTCCTGAGGTCGGCGTCGGGTTGCATCTAAATTGACTTGATATGAGTAGAGATCACGCGGAATGTCAATGAGTTAGCTGTTAGGCAATTGAAAGTTTCGGCTTTAGAACACTGTTTTTATATACTACCTTCTGCCATTAGTTTTGCTATGCTATTATTATTTATGGCTTCCTGGAGGCTGGCCTTTTATCTGTACTAATATTATAAAGAGGTAAAGTTTGTGAGTTTGTGAATTGTGAGTTTATGACGTTGTAAGGGGTAATCTCTAGATCTACTGAACCGATTTAAATGAAATATGGTAAGAAGATAGTTTGAGACCCTGGGAAGGACATAGGATACTTTTATCCCGGAAATCATCCCTTAAGGGGGTGAAAATGGGGATGAAAGTTTATATGGGGAATCGAGCTACAAAAATTAATCATTTAATATTATAAGTTACATATGTATGTATATCATGTTATTTACATGAAAACGTCTCTTGTTCCAGCCCGCCTACCTTTAAGACTCTAACGCCGACATCGCGCACGCAGCTCAAACAGCAGTTGATGCGAGAGCATGCGCAGGAGCAGCTGCGTCGTGAATCATTACAAGTAAGTGTAGAAGATACGAGTAGTATTATAGTTATAGATAGATCTGTTCAGAAAGTAGTATCCCATTTTGAACATCTTAAAAATGGGACTTGGTTAGGATGTATGTATTTCTTGTGTATTTTAATTGTTACACGATAGTTTTTTCAATGTTATACCTAAATTAATTTCCTTCAAAGTCTGTAGTTTTTTAATTAAGTTTAGAGTAATTACATTTAATCTCTAGGAAAATAAAAAGCTTGAAATGCTGCAATAAATTAAAAGAACCTTTGAAAATAACAAGTTAATAAGCAGCTTGTACCACATAGCAAAATTTTAGAACATTATTATTGGTTGTTACATCCAGGCTCAACAAGCAGGCCAATCCAAAGATAATGAAGATAAAAAGAAGTCCAGTCCCACAGATGTACCGCGCATCACGCCGCACGTGGAACTACCGCCACAGGTGTTGCAGGTTAGTTCACACACCAATAAATGTACTATATGTAAGGCAGTAGTAGCCCAGTAGAAAGGCGTCACTTGGGAAACTGAGTGTAGCGGGTTCAAGCCCGGGTCTCGCACCTTTGATATTTTCATATGCGATTAATTTCCAACATGATTACCACTTGTCTTACTGTAAAGGAAAACATCGTGAGGAAATCTGCTTGTCTAAGAGAACTTAGCAAGTTTTCGAAAGACAAGTAAAGTGGACTATGGCCTGTTCCCCTCCGGATTTATTTATTTATTTATGTTGTTTTGAATTCACTATTAAGTTTTCCAATTATTACACGTTTATTTCTTGATCTACAATTTAAGCTATATCTCGAATTTCACTTAATTGGTGAAAGTAACATAGGTATACATAGATAGGAACTTTCGCATCAATACATAAAAATAAAATTAATTTGTCTGTCTGTGATTTCAAAAATGTTTTATTAAGTAGATAGAGTTATTTATATGCTACCAATACCTAAACAATCCGTTTTAAAAATTTTGTCTGTTTATCTTACTGTTTGTCCGGAGTAATCTCTGAAAGATAGAGGAGTATATTTTATTTCAAAAGTTTAAAAAAAAATTATGTTTCTAAATAGGGTGTAGGGTCGCACCCGAGCCTAGTGAGGGTAAGTCGCTAGTTTATAATATTTAAACTCAAAATTACCAAATAAATGCATTAATATCTTAAAATAATAATAGGACGAAATATATACTTGCAGGTGCGAACAGTTTTGGAAAATCCCACCCGGTATCACGTGATCCAGAAGCAGAAGAGCCAGGTGCGCCAGTACCTCAGCGAATCCTTTACTCCACAGCCACAGGTTTGTTTTATGCAGTTACAAAATTATCTATTTAGATCTTCTAACATTATATATAGTTAACATAATACTTTCTTAGGCTCTCCCGTGACCAACATTGCTGTAAAGCATTGGAAATGTCGGGAACCAAAAAAACAGCTCTAAGAACAACAGTTCACTGAAAAACATCTCGCTCATAGCCTATGACCTGGAGTAACACATAGGTTACTGTCAGACATGTGGAAACCGACACGAAAGTAAATCGTTAATAATTAAACGTATTTTTTCGTTTCTAGGTGGCAGGCGCAGTGCGAGGCGCGCCTGTGCAAAGTGCACCGGAGTTGGGCACAAGAGCTCAGTCGCCGGATAGGGCTTCATCCTCCAGTCTGTTGAGTCCCGGGTTGTGTTCCGCTGGAGCTAACTCTGAAGTAAGTAGTTTTTTTTTTAATTGTTGATCTAAGTATTTTTAGTCTATATAAATTATATTTGATAGGTTTCAAATCATAACCTCTTCGTTAATTATCTATTTTTAACACAGTACTGTAAGCCGAGCAATTTTTTTGTTCACTAATATTTTTCATATAAGTCTGGTATTTCAGTCTATCTCACATCATTTAAGCTGTCATATTTTTTTTGAAACCAAACAGACAGCCACCTGAAATTAGGCCTAGATTTAACTTTAGAGATACCAGATCAGTCCTTAAAATGATCTGAGTGGCCTTCCTATTATTGATAGTGCACTGGTATCTCTAGATATCGCTGTGTTTTATTTTCCTTTCTTGTTCATATAAAATATTCATTTCTTACTTCTCCATTCTACGTGACTTTAGCCATTAACAAGAGTATTAAATTAATTCCTTTATTTACTAGGCAGACGAGTTCCTAGATGATATCCTCTCACTGGACACACCCCTATCATCTTCAGAGCCAGCTTCCACCACCAGCTCGTTAGCCGGCGACTGCGCCGTGCTATGTGATGCAGATATGCACGCACTTGCAAAGGACAGGCAGAAGAAAGACAACCACAATATGAGTGAGTATTTTATAATACACGTAGAAGAAGTCCTGAGTTTGAGGCCGGAACGGGTCAAGTGTAAATATTCTTTATAAGAGCCCCAATTTGTGGATTTAATATGGGGCTGTTCAAGAGTCTTGTCTTCAGATCACTTAAAGGCCGGAAACGCATTATATCCTCAATAAGATTTTCTGTTAGGAGGTCTTTATTACTACTATTACTAACTTTATTAACTGAATTTTTGTCTGTTTGTCGGTTTGTCTGTGCTTTTGCGCGCGCTAATCTCAGAAACGGCATAACCGATTTGGATGTGGTTTTCACTAATGTATTGGGATAAGCACTCACTAAACATTTAGTGTTTGTTTTATTTCAATCGATTTATCAATAAAAAAGTTATGTCTATTTGAAGAATCATCAAGACGAGCCTGAGCCAAGAGAGGGTGAGCCGCTAGTTAACATAATAAAAATAGAGGCTTGTAATAGAATCCATAATAAATACCCTTATTTAATAAGAATAATAAAAGTGTAATTAATAATTTAATTAACTAAGTTAATAGTTTGCTATATTAATGTAATATTTTAATAAACAACTCAAATCAACTCTATTCCAGTCGAACGCCGTCGCCGTTTCAACATAAACGACAGGATAAAAGAACTCGGGACCCTTCTCCCTAAAACCAACGACCCCTTCTACGAAGTTATAAGGGATGTACGTCCCAACAAAGGAACCATATTGAAGAGTAGTGTAGATTACATAAAGTGCCTTCGCGATGAGGTCAATAGGTTGAAACAAAGTGAACAGCGAAGAAAACAAATAGAGCTTCACAATAGAAAGCTTATGTTGAGGATACAGGTTAGTAGGTTTGAAGTTTTATATGGTTTGGGTAACTTTGAATTTGGTGAAGTGAATGAATAGTGTTATATGTAAGTTTAACTTAGTCCATGTAACTTTGAATTAAGCTTTAAATTAAATATTTACAAATATTAGAATCGTTGTGATTTAAAACTCGATAAAACGAAAATGCGACACTAAAAAGAGACAAACACGTAAATATATAGAGGATTAAGACGACGAGAGAATGAGATAGAATACATTACTCGGGATGTGAAAAATAATAAAAATAATACTGAATAATATGTAATGTAATATATGTATGTTATAAAATGTAAAATAACGTTTAAACTTGGTAAAAATAAACTTTATAAAAAAACCTTACAATTATCCTGCTCCTGATACTATATATTCATCTCATTCACTCTTAGGTTACTTTGAAGTTTCACTTTACCGTGTGCATATTGAGAGCACACACACAAACACTTTTTATTATTATATTGATCTTATTATTCGCATAGATATAGGTTATTACTTTCATTGAGTTATGTATAAGAGAACTTTTTCATGGCATTGTGTATCTAGTATTTTTCTGAGTTATGGTAGATAAAGTTATTACATTGATGAATTCATAATAATATATATGTAAAAAAATATAGGACATATTCATTTTTAATATATAATTTATAGCTTTGATTAAATAAAATATACTATATATTGAAAATGTACATATACGAGTATGTATTGTAAGATCCCTATTAAAACTTCGAGATATTCCTTGCTTACATTCTTATATTCAGTACTTTTATAATCGTCAGTGAGTTACATAATTTATAATCATAATTTTCAGTATTATAAACAATTCGTGACCAGTCACTACACGGTGGTACCGACATCTCTGTGCAAAAGCGCGGGAAAACAAATGAATATCCGCGCCCCTTTTTTTTTAAACACATTCCTATCGGCCAAGGTCACATAAGTAAATTCCTTATACATAAATCATTACAAATTAATCAAGTATATTATTCTCTATTAAAACAATATATATATAAAAAAATGCAATCTTATACTATCTATACATATTATAATAAAATTGTAACTAAGCCGAATCTGTATATTAAAATATTTTTTGGAAAATTTTATTGAAATAAACATTATTATCGATACAGAGGCCGGATCTATAGTTTTTAGAATTTTTGTCTGTCTGTCTGTCCGTCTGTCTGTTACCTCATCACAGAAAAACCACTGGATGGATTTTGATGAAATTTAGTATGGTGATAGTCAACATATAGGATACTTTTTACCGCGGGAAAATATCTAATTTCTGAGAAAAAAACAATAACTGCAATGTAAGAGAATTAGGTTTTTGGTCACCTGAACGCGGGCGCAACCGCGGGCAATGCTAGTTTATTTATATTATTAACAATATGCAATACCTCATTACTAATCAGCGATGATAACATGCATCTATTATTCATAGAAGCGCTTATGTTAATATGTCTTCATAGCTTTTAATGCAATACTACACTAATGACTGTTTGTGGTTACTTAGAAAAAATAAATATTGCAAAGGGAAAATTACATTATAAAAATAATCATTAATTATATTAGCTCTAAGTAAAAGTAAAGACTAAGGATTTTTAATCATATTCAGCCAGTTTAACGTCCACTGCTCCTTTCAATGCGAGGGGATCTGGCCATTAGCTATATCCAATACGCTGGCCAATAATATACACATGAAAATATGATGGGTGTGAGGCCCGGAATTCGAACTCACTTCATTTGAATTCAAAAGCGAGCTTACCATTACTTACCACTGGGCCACGCCTCTAAACTAGTTAACCGGGTATTTATTTATAAGTTTACAAAACTGGCATACAAATGAAATAAACAAGCTTAATTATAATTATTATTATTCTAAAGTATACAATCAGACCAATGATGTCTTCTAAGATTTGAACATCACGTGCATATGAACAGAACTAAGTATTTACTATAAAAATATATTTATGTACTGTTTAACAAGGCAAAACTAAATTAAATCCAATTATTACTGTATTATAATAAAACATAACATAAAATATAGTACAATTCGATTTATCTACTTTTGTTAGTGAGTAATATTTAAACAGCTTTCTTTTTAACGGAATCATCGAAAATATCTATATCATTTCTTAGGGCATTTGCTAAGGATACCATTCTATAGATAGAACTATGTTGACTGAGGTTGGTTCTTGTATCTGGTAAGAAGAAAGTTTCGCGATTATGCAATCGAGTTTGTGGGCGGGATATTGAAAAATGCTAGCGTTCCAATAATTCAGGGGTATCAACTAAACATTTAATTAATTTACCCAAAAGAGTTAAATCACCTATTTTTCTTCTTTCTTTAACTATATGTAAAAAAAATTATTGATTGGGTTATAATGACAGTGTAATTTACTTCGGTAAATTAAGAGAAAAGTAAAAAAAATATAAACACGTTTTTACCCGAAGCCATTTTTATCTATTTTTTCATGTCTTTACAGGAGCTAGAGCGTCTGGCGCGCCTGCACGGACTGCCTGTAGAAGGTTGGGCGGCGCCGCGTGACGAAGACGCGCCCTCTTTGCCTGTGAGTATATTTATATTCAGACCTCTTTAACGTCCCACTGCTGGGGGTGGGCCTCCCTTCAATACGAGGGGGATCAGGCCATAGTCCACAACGCTGGCCAAATGCGGGTTGGTGGACTTCACATGTCTTATGAAAACTTGCTAGGTTTTCTCAGACATGCAGGTTTCCTCACGATGTTTTCCTTCACCGTAAAGCGAGTGGTAATCATGTTAGAAATGATTCGCAAATGAAAATATCAGAGGTGCGAGACCCGGAATTTGAGCCCGCTTCATTCGGTTTCCCAAGCGAGCGTGTTACCACTGGGCTACCACTGACTATTCACATTAACACTGTCGCTAGTTATACAATATAAATGGAAGTTATTTGGGTTATCTCCAGGAGGTGGTCCTGCCCAAGTCGGAGCCTGCGCCCCTGATGGAGCTGAGCGAGGCGCCGCCCGACCTGCTGCGCGACACGCCCTCGGGGGAGGCCCTGTCCGCCCTCGACGCTCTAGGTATGGCTGGCTTTGTTTTGTTCTTATTCCATTTATTATTCTAGTCACCATCTTTCAATGAACATTGAAGGAAAATTCTGTAGTTGTTGAGGTTCATGAAATATTAATGTATTACATACAACACGTTTATTGCACCACGACAATGACAATAAAGACATATAGAACAGCAGCGCTGCGCGCGGAAACAGGAAATAAAAATGGTTGCGTTCCATTTCACTAAGAAACATAAATATTTACAAGTTAACGGTTAATATGGAATAGATGGACCATGTATACATACATGCTGTAGGTAAATTAAAAAACTAACTTTAAAAAATTAAAACTTCCACCCGCCTTTTCACCCCCTTAAGGAATTATTTACGGGATAAAACCTACCTCCATATCAAATATCATTTAAATCGGGTCAGCGGATTAAGTATAAAATGGTAACAGACAGGGTAACTTTCGCATTTATAATATTAGTATGGACAAAGGGTTTCTATATTATGTTTTCATCATTATACGCTAGTGTGGAGTGAGTTTTTCCATCAATTTTAATTTAGAACAAACCTACTAACATTATAAATACGAAAGTCTGATAGGATGTCTGGATGTCTGGTTGTATAGATGAGTGGATGTTTGTTACTCTGTCACGCAAAAACTACTGAATGGATTTTAAGTAGCTCATAAGATGACCTATAATGATAGCTCATATTATGTACATCAGAATAACACATAGGCTACTTTTTATCCCGGAAAAATGTACGGTTTCCGTGGGATAGATTTATTTTTGTTTTTCTAGAGTAAATAATATATATGGTGATTTGATACGTTTTTTTTTAATATATTAAGTTTATTATTAAATATTAAGGAAATATTTTGTGTTAAAGATAGCAATACCAACTTAAAAATTGTTCTATTTGAGAGCTAAATATTGGTATTTTTTTAATTTTTAAGCCCAATGCGCCATTTTACGATACTGTCTTAGGAAGTTGAAATTTTTCATGAATGGAATTTTTGGAATATGGACCATTAATTGGTAATAGAGGGATTTTAAAATAAAAAAAATCATTCCATCCGACTATCCAGCACAGTGTATACAAGATAGTATAATAGAGCGAATTTTTTTTAAGATTTATGCATTGTAAAATATTACTAATTTATATTTTCATTTTTAGATCTTAGGTCCATTAAATAAATAAATATTTTGATTTAATATGCATGTACTTGTTGCAGACGGTCTGAAGTTAGGCTCTTGCTCTCCCCTAAGTCGAGAGGAAGGGCTCTCCTTGAGTTGTCTGGAGCCCGACCTGTGTCTGGAACCTGTAGCGGAACACCTCTTCAATCATAAAGACATAAAGGTAATTTATAAATAAAGGATAAATAATAATAATGTCCTTCTGGTCTACTTCGGTCATGGCTGCCAATTTAATCTGCGCAGGAGATATTATAGTTGTCTTGTTTATCTTGTAGTTACAGTGTTACTAGGTTTAGGTTTAAAGATATTTATTTCCAAAAAAGAACATAGTTCATTTGATATTAGAAAAATTATATAATAAGAAAACTTATGTAACTAATCATGCAGTAGTGCTATTTTATCGGGTCTATCGAAAGTATATATGGTTCTTTAATATCTTTTTGAATATATTAATAGATTTTGCATCCTCTACATCTTTAGACAAAAAATTGTATAGCTGTGCTCGTTTCCCTTTATAACTCCTGTGGGACGATAATGCCACGCTCGGATGAGAGATCAGGGTGAATATTAAGTAATTGAAAAGGTGTTGGCCCAACTCGAGACTCAAACCCAGAACCTTACGATATTTAGCTAATAAAACCAGTACTACCCACTTAAATCCGTATATGCTAGACACTAGTCTAACCTAAAAAGAATATACTAATTTATATATCTATATAGATAAACAGCTTTTTACTAAATGCATATGAAAGTATATTATACGTTACTTATAATTAAAAAAAAAACAATTTTAAATTTTTTGTCTGTCTGTCTGTTAGTTCCGGTTAATCTCCGAAACGACTGAACCGATTTTGACGGAGCTTTTACTGGCAGATAGCTGATATTTTGAGGAGGAACTTGGACTATATTTATTTTAAAAAATTATTAGTGCTCCGCTCAAAAAGATTGAAACATACCTAGGGACCAACCCGAGCGAAGCGAGGATAAGCCGCTAGTTATTTATATATATATACATTTCAGAACACGTTTGGCTCAGTTTGCAGTGACCCTACTTGATGTGCTAGCGGTCGCAGGTTCGAGTCCCGCTGGGGGCATTCATTTGTGTGATAAGCACGAATGTACGTACTCCAGTGATTGGTGTTTATATTTATAATATATATGTATTTAAAGTTATATATGTGTAGTGTATCAACTATCTGGTATCCATAACATAAGCCTCGTAGCTTACCATGGAACTAAATGGTGCTGTGTGTAAATATCCCAATAACATATTTAATACATTTATATATTACAGCAGATGAGACTATCCCCGACGCCGGGCCTGCTGGGCGCGGACGAGAACGACGCAGTACTCAACTTGGCGCAGATAGAAGACCTCATGGATGACGATTCACACAACCCCGTCACACAAGGTAGGCTATTTCTATAGATATAATAAAATTCTAACTGAGTCGAATCTGTACATTAAAATATTTTTTGGAAAATCTTATTGAAATAGTCATTATTATCGCTACAGAATATGTCTATCTATCTGTGACCGCATCACGACAAAACCACTGGACAGATTTTGATGAAATTTGGTATGATGATACCTGGTTACCCGGGTCAACATATAGGATACTTTTTACTGCGGGAAAATATCTCATCTCTGAAAAATCTATACTAAACGTTAAAAAGTAACTAGTGACGAAACCAAGTGGAGCGACGGTGAATAGCTAGTCTTATATAATTTACGATAGCTTTCATTCATTTTCTATTATGCTAACGATCATTATAGTTGAAATGCTAAAAAAATATTATTATGATGTAAAACGGGATATTTACCTGCCATTTTCAGTATACGCATAGCCTTGTAACAGTAGGGAACCATACATACAAACTTACAAACATTGCAAGTAAATAAAGGCTTGTACAAATTTTGTGTATTGTTATAATTGTATATTTCAACACTTAGTCATAAGCATCGGTGGTTCAGTGGTAGAATGCTCGCCTGCCACGCGGGCGGCCCGGGTTCGATTCCCGGCCGATGCATGACTTTTTGTTTTATTTTTCTCTTTGTATTCTTTACATTATACCTATATTATAAATCTATTAAAAAAAACTAATCAGTATACTGTTTTTTTTTAATTTTTTTTCTTTTCTATTTTGTACAATATACTCGTAATTGTTTTTATTTTGTATTATTTTAAAACAATTATTCTAAAAAGTTTTTAAAAATAAAATTTTATAAACATTTATACAAATCTACCTACCATATTATTACTTTTATTTTATGCTTTTATAACGTTTCTTTCAAAATGTCTAAGAATTTTAAGCCCTTTTACAAAAGAATCTTGTTTGGTTCTACTTTGCCCTCGATGTCTCTTTATCGAATTGCCACAATATAAAAATCCATACGCATCAATTTTAACACGTTCGTAAGGTGCTCAAGCGACCTCATGTTTTATATGTAACAAACAATATATGTATAACCTGTATATGTGTGTGCTAGAGTGAAGCGAAAAAAAAAATGTTTTTTCTTAGCTTTATTCAAAAAAGTTATTTTTTTTATATGCCACCACCTAGTAGCATATAAAAAAAAAACAAAAATTTTAAAATAAAAAGATAATTTATGTTGCCTTAATTATTATAAAAATCAGTGGACCAACTCAAAATGTTTAGTAAAATTTTTCTTTTCTTTCAAAAAATTTAGTTTTTTATAATCTACAAATTTTACCCCCAAGCTAAAAAAAACAATGTTTTTTTCGCTTCACCTTAGTGTGTACTCAGGCAACCCCATGCTTTACATAATAACAAACAATATGTAACCCGTACGTGTGTGCTCAGGCGACCCCATGCTGTGCTCGTCGCCCACGGCGCTGGGGCTGGGCGGCGGCGACGAGCGCTCCTGCGCCTTGCTGCACATAGACCTGTCCTCGCACGCGCCAGGTGAGCTTCCCCACTCTAGACTTTACACACGACATAATATTATAACACTCTTCTTATATATTTATTCAGCCCTTTTTTCCCACTGCTGGACAAGATCTCCCTTCAATACGAGGGGGATCAGGCTATAGTCCACCATGCTGGCCAAGTGCGGGTGGACTGAGCATATCTTCCGAAACTTGATAGGTTCTGTCAGACATGCAGGTTTCCTCACGATGTTTTCCTTTATCATATGGTAAGTGGTAATTATGTTGGAAATTATACGCATATGAAAATATCAGAACTGCGAGACCCGGGATTTGAGCGCGCTTCACTCGGTTTCACAAGCGAGTGTTTCACACGGGGCTACCACTGCCTTACTTCTTATGTTTAATTGTAATCTTCTTATATTAAAAACCGTTGATTGATTATATAAATATTCTTATTAATATAATTATTTATGAATTATTATATAATTCCATTGTATTTATGTAGGATTTTCGAGAAGAATATGCATGAAATGATATTTTAAGAATAAAAGAGGAGGTATGATATAATTTTAACCGTTTCCCTGTTCCACGAATCATATATGAACATTTCGATTGTTTAATTATTGTGTCTATTTTGCGGACAGTTAAGTTGTTAAGAATGGAATAGAATAAAAGATGAATAAAAGAAAAGAAGGATGTTTGGTCATAATAACAACACGATGAGACGCGTGAACATTGTATTATCTGATTTTAGAAGAATAAATAGTAATTAGTGTACTATAAAAGCTTTTATTGATATTCCCGTATCCTACATTTATTCATATATAGTAATAGTAACCATGGTACAAATAATATATTCCTTATAAAGTAAGTAATATATATCACTGTATATTTTTTAACTTGCAACTCGTTTCGCTCTAATTAAGTGTATCCACTTAATTTACTAAAATACAAACACTTATGTCTTAGACAATTCAACAAATACACTGTCGTACTTAAAATATCAGTACTACTTGTAAAAATATTTCTACGAATACCTATAAAAACTAAATCTCTTTTCAGGTTCCTCACTCATGTCAGAAGGCGTTATGTCCCTTGGCTTAGGAGGTCTAGGGGGCCTCGGGGGCCTCGGTGAAGGACTTCCCCTCCTGCTAGGGGCCACACACGCCCCCCACTCCCCCCACGCACACCACCGACCCTGCTTCGATATGGATCTTGGCGCTTAGCTAATTCAGCTAACTAACCACTTAGACAAAGTTATACGACGTGAATATGGTGCTTAAATGGTGATTTAGCCAATTCGTCACTTAGACAATACAACAAATTACAAAAAATTATCACTTTTGTATTTGTGCTAAGTGCACTTAGCTTCTTTGGAGAAACAAAAATACTATTTTTATATGAACTTTGTTATTTAACTGGCGTTTACACTTACAGCTCGTTACAGCTATATTATCTAACATCTAAGACGAAATTGTTATTTTTATTATTATGAATTTACATAAGTTATTATATTAATCACTTTGCTATTCATTTATATGAATATGATGTGATATGTTCACAACTTAGACATAATGATCGCTAATTGACTAAGTCAGTTAGCCACTTAGCCAATAAAAATATACATTTGTCGTGTTCGCGCAGCTATTCGATTTTAAAGTGATAAATGTTATTTGTTAGCAAATTTTATTGCCTCATAATTTATTATTAGAACAATAAGATTGGAATATTATTGCTTATTGAAAAAAAAAGTTAATATCAATATCTATTTACATAATTCTTGATAATATATTTTTTTATATTTGAATATAAAATATTTGTATATAAAAAAATAACTGTCTAATTATTTTCAAAATAAAGAGTGCCATAAACAAGGGTACTAAATATTTTTGCTTCTTACGATTATTTTTACATAAATAATTTAATATCGAATGATTTTATATAAAAATTAAATATGGATGTTATATTTCTTTTTTTATCGCATTTTATTTAAACTGTGTGTCTATAAAACAAAATGTTCTAAATAAATAAAAATATTGTTAAGAATATCCTATCTAAGACAATAATGTACTAACGAGGGCTACCGTGTTTAAATTGGCCGCAAGATGGCGTTAGTGTAGAGTGAGGTCTCTACAAATCTCAAATGTAACTGAATGTTTACTGTTTGCGAGCTTTTTATCGCGGATTTTCATTAATATTCATGATTATTGTAAAGATTGTGCCATTTCTGATTAATTATTTAAACTTGTAGAACTGTTTTCAAATATAATTATTAATTAATACTATTTCAATGACAACGATAGGACCTCACTCGCCAGTGGCGCTGACTGGTGGAACCAGAAAGGATAGCCCTCATAAACTGGCAAACGGCATTATCATCTTAAACATGACATTATAGTACAATATTTTAAATCAAAACCGACTTCAAAATCAATTAAAAACTATATATTCCATTTTAAATTTGATTTTTTTGTATTGAATATTATATAGGAAAGAAAACTATTATTGATAAGCAAAAATATTACGTATGTATGTATACAGACAAACATACATCTAAATTCAATGCCTCCTATTTGTAGTCGGTTAAAAAGTACCATAAATAGTTACCATTTTTTATATGAATAAGTATGTTAAACGTGGAACATCGAAATATAAAGTGCTTTGATAGGGAATATGCATGTCGCTTTTACTTCGTTGTTAATTTTTCTTTCTGGAACTTTATCGAACAGATATTATATTTAACATGTTATTTTCTTATTTAATTTGTTTATATTGTACATTATTAAATACTAACGGGAAATTCAAAATCATGTCAAAACGGCGTCAGACGATGAGCCATATTCATATTATTGACATTTTTTAGTGATCGGACCGAAGATTCGGTTCCGGTTTCGGACGAAACAGACCGATAATTCGGTTTTGGCTGCAAATCCTGTTTTAGTCAGTCTCTATCACTTTGACACTTGCAAAGAAAAATATTGTAACTGAGACAATTTAAAAATAGAACATAATTTGTTATATTATATTTCAAATCCAAATTCAAAATCGTTGTAATAATAGTGTCGATTTGTAACGTCACAGCAAGCGCGGGAAATTGGTGGTTTAAACGGCTAATTAACTTGTTTTAATTTATTTAAATATTATCCACAGTATTTTTTTTTATATTTTATAAACTCAGACTAAGGAATAATATAGACTGTAATAGAACTAAACATGAAGCCAAACAATTATGTTTTAAACTAATATACAAATAAGAATTTGTTGTTGTTGTTTTATAATAAAGAATATAATTTAAATAAGCTCATTAAAGAGAATTAAAAAATACAAAAGAATTATTATAGTATTATTTTTATTATAGATATTTTATTCTCAAAAAATGTATATTCATTTAACTATATATATAAAAATTGCCTTATTCTTTAAAGATAGAAACGAGAAAGATCTTCGAGAGATTCTAGAAACGATCAGTACGCAACATCTAGAATGGTAGTAAATATAAAGAGCAAATTGCGCTACTATTTTTGACTTTGTCATTTATTTTGGAGGACTGCGTTTATGCGAGTATAATTCTTTAGTCTGAGGTTTTGAACATGCTTATACCCTATTGATTCAAAATCATATAAAATATAAAACTATTTTTTATTTATATACATAATAAAATTAGTACAATTTATATGTTTCCATTCATATTACGCATGGTGCTCTTTTTCGAAGCATTTTTAAGATTATTCGTATTAAATTCATATTTAATTTAATATACAGCTATACGATAAGGGTTAAGCTGCACGCACTCTGTCAATAAATGGATGAGTGGGCCCAAAGGACCACGATTGATAAAAGTAATATAAATGTGATAAAATATATTTTTAGATGATATTTATCTTATATTTACGCGAATATTTGACATTTTAAATAAAACCATCTATCCGGATTTTTAGCGGATTTATTTTGATTTTTGGTTCCCAACGTTTCGAATGCTTTACAGCAATCGTGGTCACGGGAGAGACTGTCCTTAGTCTTCAGATCTTGGGCATATTTTGGTTACTATTTTGCAGGCCGTATTAATTCACTGGTTCTCCCGTGACCATGATTGCTGTAAAGCATTCGAAACGTCGGGAACCAAAAATCAAAACAAATCCGCGAAAAGATCCGAAAAGATAATTTTGTTTAAAATAAATCGTTTTTGTATATACATAGATTATGTACCGGCGTGCCTTAGACGTAGAGCCGTGTAAGTTAATGTAAATAAAATTGTTTAAAATACACTGGTTATATTGCAGAAATCGTTAAGTTTGAAATTTAAAGGAAATTAAGAAATATATATTTCTCAAAGTACAGCTCAAATTTTTAATATTATTTGTATGGTACATACAAAAAACAATTGTCGAACAAAAAATGTGTTTAATGTCATTAAATTGTAATAAACGTATTATTTGTGTAATAAATCGTTTTGTTATAATTATAATTATCGCTTGCATGGACTTGTGGTTTGTTGCTGTATTTCGCTCGAATTCTTATTTTTGTAATATTATATATATAAAATATCTGAAGTTTTGTCTACTTGTATTGGATTTTTTTATTTTTTTATTTAATACAATTGTTTCAAATACAAATTGTATAAAGACACCTATTAATTTAAAAATATATATTTTTTCATACATATGTATGTATGTATATATTATATATATGAAATCGGCACATCTCACAAGAACATATTATGCTTTTGTAAAGTCTATATATTATTATTATCATTAGATGTAAGAGTTAAATGATAATGCGCCAATTTTAGTATTATTATACATACTATGTTATGTATTAGACGCGAATAAACTGACAAGTTTCATTTATATATAGTTATATAGTATATTTATAATATAGTTTCAACAGTGGGGTGGACAATTTTTTTTTTAATATTTTTTAAACCAGTCGATTTAGCAAAAAATCATCTCAGATTTTTTTTGTAGATAGTTCAATTTCCTACGAGAATATGTATTAGTTTTTAGAATACGTTAATTTGTTAAAACGCAACAAGAATCGTGTTATTTAAATAGGCAATTGAAAATCACATCTCTTTATATGTGTGATTTTTTTTCCATCAACGATATTCCACGGTCATTAAATTAAAAAAAATACTCGTTTTTTTGGCCCTCCCTTAATTGTATAGTTTACTTATATAATATATATAATTAATTATATTATATGGACTTGTCATGTTATTAACGTATTTGAAAGCAATATTCTAGATACATTTTGTTAGTGTTTGTTCAATGAACAGTCGAGCGAAGTTGATGTTATTAATATATTGAGATTACAAGAACATTGTTGAAGTACAAACGTGAATTACAGAATTTACCAGATATCAGTCTTTTATTGTATTGCCACATTACGTAATACACGACATACTACTACAGATACCCCCTCCCATACAAAGAAATTGGACGGCTGTAATATGAAATGTTTTAGTTTGCTTTAATTGATAATGGATGTCGTTGATCCGCAAACTATCGAATTAAATTCGTTATAAATAAGTGCAAAGTTAATTTTGCATAACACAAGCCATTTTATAAAACAAACCTTAACAATTTTCAATCGTAGTAAAACTCATAAAACCCATTTACCTATATAGAGGATTTCTCAACAATCAGTCGATTAGAATAACGCATATTTGATCTAACATTATTTCGTTTTCATTCGCTTTGTGTATTAATAAGATTAAAGTTGGTATACCTTTTTCTTATTTTGTTAATTTAAACACAAACTTCAGTAGCAAACCTTAATATAATGCCATCTATTGACTTTTATTTGAACTAACTTTTTGTTGCTTCTGATGAGACCTCATGAAATTATATAGCATAAACTTAAATACCAATTTCCAGGTTTCTAACTTTAATATTACGAATTTCTATACAAATTTTCATTCCCTATTGAAAATAAAAAAAATCATTGTATGTATTCAGCCCTTTTTAACGTCCTACTGCTGGGGGTGGGCCTCCCTTCAAAGCGAGGTGGATCAGGCCATAGTCCACCACGCTGGCCAAGTGCGGGTTGACCGACTTCACATGTCTTTCGAAAACGTGCTAGGTTCTCTCAGACATGCAGGTTTCCTAACGATGTTTTCCTTCACCGTAAGACAAGTGGTAATCATATTAGAAATGATTCGCACATGAAAATATCAGTGGTGCGAGACCCGGGATTTGAACCCGCTTCACTCAGTTTCCCAAGCGAGCGCGCTACCGCTTACCGTTACTGGGCTACCACTGCCTTAAAAAAACTTTGATTTGTACTTATTTATATATTAATGTTTCTAGAATAAATTTAAAAATATCTCGATATTTATATGACGATATGTATTCGAAACCTCAGGAACCAAAAATCAAAATAAATCCGAAAAAGTAGTTTTATTTAAAAATATATGTTATGTTTTCTTTTTCATAAAAGCAAAATCTTTTAAGTAAATGAATCCATAAATATATTATTTTACACACACTTTGAGAATTTAAAATATTATTTTTGGTACCCATACTTATTTTATTCACATAAACTTCAGCCAACTAAATAACCATCTGTGTTCATTATTATAAATAGCATATAAAAACTTTTAAAGTCGGTTCATTATTTACGAATAAAAAATATATATTAAAATTTAAGAAAATGAATACAATTATAAATAACAATAGCACTCTGTCCACGCGATGTTCAATATCGCTACCCCAGACCCCAGTATTTGACCACGCAAAATCCTTATTAATTCAAACTGTCGTTTGCATAAAAACCGATCGTTAATTTTATTCGCACACTCCTAGAATAATGGCTGAATCTTTTACAAATGCATTTTTCCCCCAAAAATGAAGTTAGAACGATTATTTTTATTCATTCGGCCTCGATACAATGGAGCGTTTCAAATTTCGAGGAAATTTGCGTTTTTGCATAAAATATTGAAGCGGGGCGGCGCGTGCGCATGCAGTGCAGTCGTCGGTGACCACACGATACTTTTAAACTTTATGAATTTGAGATTTACTTAATAATGATGCTATTTTTAATAAAACATATACAAATTAGCAGATATGTATTTAGAAGTTCGAGTTTTTTTTTAATATTTAAAATATTATTTAATTTCTAATAAAATATATATACAAAATAGAAGATGTAGATATATTTAGGATATTTGTATTCTCAAGTTGCAAATATGAAGTAATTGCTTAATAATACGGATGTAATTTATGTCCTGTTTTAAATTCAATAAATTTATTTTTAAAGTTTAACTGCTAAATAATTTTCGAACTAAACATAGTAATGCAACATATAAATAACGTAAACTTTTCAGTAACATGGTCACCGTATTTTATTGTGACCAAATTCATTGTTACAGGATTGATAAAAGCGATACAGTTTGCGATTTTTTTCACAAATTTAAATGAAGTCCCCTCGGTCATAACTCGCCATTTGCATGGTGTCGTTTACGTCGAATGCACATTTTATGCAAAAAATCCTTTACAATTATAATTATAGTGTGTAAAATATTTCATATCACTTTACTGACTGCGATATTATTAACAGTTTTTAATGTAGAATTTAAATGTAGAGCGTTTGAAAGATTAATATTTTTTAAAGACGACCTAAATGGCACCCGTATGTTACAGGTTCGTAACCGGGTGGGTCGCTTTGATTATAACGTTTACACTACTTTGGTGTAAACAAATTGTTATACTTATACTAGCATTGCCCGCGGCTCCGCCCGCGTTCAGATGATCAAAAACCAAATTCTTAGGTTTTACATATTAGTATACTCTTACAATGCAGTTTTTGTATTTTTTCTCAGAAATGAGATATTTTCCCGCGGTAAAAAGTATCCTATATGTTGACCCGGATAACCAGCTATCATCTTATCAAATTTCATCAAAATCTGTCCAGTGGTTTTCTCATGATGCGGTAACAGACAGACAGACAGACAAAAATTCTAAAAACTATAGATTCGGACACTGTATCGATAATAATGTCTTTTTCAATAAGATTTTCCAAAAAATATTTAATGTACAGATTCGGCTTAGTTACAATTTTATTATAGGTATGTATAGATGTCTAATTATCACTGTTATCAGTAAATAAAAATATTCTTGAAAACTCTAATATTAAGCACGTAAAAGTTCTTTTAAAAATATATCCCGCACGTATCCTGTGTAGACAAACAAAAATATTGAGAAGTTTTAAAGAACTATCAAATTACTAACTTTTAATATATTCGTATTGAAAACATATTAACTATTATAAAACCTCATTCCTAATTTAAAAAAATAAGCCCTACAAACCTTAAAGTGACAGAATCAGTCACATACCGCATACAGCTGATTTATAATTTGGAAGAAATGTGTAAATTTTGACAATAATGATGCAAGTTACACCCATACCGGCGACGCCTGCCCAGTCTTACACCCCCGTGAAGGCACCCTTGGTCGAAGTAGAGAGACCTACAGAAGAAGTAAGTAGAGAAACAGTAGATACAAATAAATATAATGAACTATTCGAACAAAATGTCAATTTTTTACATGTAAATTGGCACTATTTTCACTCCATTTCAGGCAACATATAATTTTAATGATTAACTTTTTTGTTTTTCTATTCACAATCAATTCATAACTTTAATAAGTTCATAATGAAGATATAATAAAGTAGCATGTACCCATCTATGTTAATATAATAAAGATTATATGATACTAGCGGCTCACCCTCGCTTCGCTCGGGTTCGCCTCTAGAAAAACACTAATAGAGATCTATTTGTTCCCACGGGAACCGTTCATTTTTCCGGAATGAAAAGTAACCTGTAGTTTGACCGGCAATATAAGGTATCAGAATGTTGAATTTTACTAAATTGGTGCATAAGTTGTTGTGTACTAAGCTTTTATAAGATACTATAGTTTTTTAACTATCCCACGGAAACTCTTTAATTTTCTGGGATAAAAAGTATCTTACATGTTGACCGGGGATATAAGGTACTACCATGCAAAATTTCATTTAAATCGGTCCAGTAGTTTCGGAGATTAGCCCGTACAAACAGACAAACAGACAGAGAAACAGAGAAACAAAAAATTAAAAAAAAATCTGGATTTGTTTTATTTGTCTTCTTACATCCCCCTGACTCGATATTTAGCATTTTTTTGCTATGTACAGACATTCTACCTCTACTGTTTTATTATAGTATAGATTGTGAATTGGTGAGTTTGTTATATAGGGTAATCACTGGATCTACTGAACAGATTTGGATGAAATTTTTTAAGAAGATAGTTTGAGATCCTGGGAAGGACATAGGATACTTTTTATCCCGGAAATCCATCCCTTAAAGGGTTGAAAATGAGGATGAAACTTTGTATGGGGAAGCAAGCTAGGGGCGAACCCGAGCGAAGCGAGGGTGAGTCGCTAGTATTATATAAAGTATTGTTATAGGCCGGTAAAAAATATGTCGTCAGTAGATTTCTTCTCTGAGAAAGAATATTTTTTGAAATGAGATTTATTTACGTAAATACTAACATTTCTACATAGAGTTCTATTAAACAAGTCATTGGTTTATGGAATTTGGTTTCCAATTCAAGTTTACTATTGAAGGAAAACAATTGTTAAATTACTGAGAAAATACACACAATTATTGCAAAAGACAATTTACGAGATGAGTGTTTAATTTCATTTAAATAAAATTTAAATTTGTGCAATGTCATATAGGATAGACTAGTTTAATAAAGTACAGTTTAAAATAAATCATTTATTGTAATCTAAACTAAAAACATAACTAGATTTTATATAGGTTTGACGAGGCGAAGCGCGTACGGCTCGATAGTAATTAAAATCCACACATATATGAGTGTATATGCATTATAATATTAGGACCCATTACAAAATATTAACTTATCTTTACTTTCCATAAATATATCAGAATAACTAATCCTTATGTCTCTAGCAGCAAAAACATAAGATTTTCATATAAACTTACTTTTAGTCTCCATAAGGGCGGCGAGGTCAATATAAAAAAGAATAATACAATTCTGAGGCGAATCTGTACATTAAATATGTTTTGGAAAATCTTATTGAAATAGTCATTATTACCGATACAGAGGCCGAATCTATAGTTTTTAGAATTTTTGTGTCTGGTAACGCATTACGAGAAAACCACTGGACTGGGAGATTTTGATACAATTTGGTATGATGATAGCTGGTCATCCGGGTCAGCATATAGGATTCTTTTTGGGGGGAAATATCCTATTTCTGAGAAATCTATACAACCGTTATAATACATTAAGAATATAACACAATATCTAAAAAATATTTAAAAAGATAATTTTATCGATTTAATACGTAAATCATTGCTCTTCATTTTACAATAGGAAGAAGCGTTACCAGAAGACCATGTTCTCCAAAACCTATCGACAGTAGACCGTCTATTCATCACCAAGAGACTGCGAGTGAAGAGTGTATTGTTCCTTCGCGGGAAGAAAAATAGATTTTTCGTTAGAACTCCCGATCAGAACCTGGTGTATACTGTTGAGGAAGAGAATAGGTAAGGTAAGCTTAGTTATGGGATATGTTTAAAGTATGATGATTAGATTTTCCTAGTGGAAGTTTCCGGAACTAACTTCAGTAGGGTAGGAAAAATATTCGGTGTAATAATAGTAAATTGAATCAAATTGAACATTATCCATAAACGAGCTTTTACCTAACAACAATAAGTTAGATTTCTGAATTACCTGTAAGACATCGTCTCAACAAATACCAAATTATGGCATTCATAATGGCAGTGGGCATAGAAGATTATTACTTTCCTTAATATCTATTTTGTGAAAGTATGTGTAGGTTTTTTCATCACGAAGACGTAAGTAGACGAGTAGACGAAAAGCATTGGATCATAGTGTTATATTGTTTGTCGTGATACATCTTTATTTCCCGTTGAATAGAAAACTATTGAAAAAAGTGAAAAATTACTAGTTAGCTATAATCATATGGACGCACTAGCATTGCCCGCGGCTCCGCCCGCGTTCAGATGACCAAAAACCAAATTCTTAGGTTTTACATATTAGACTTAGTGAAACTACTAAAATAGTACAGAGAAACGACAGTCCGTTCTCTTGCTTGTATTTTTTTTTAACATTAAATATTATTTTCATTCCAATATTTGAGTTGCGTATTAATAATTTATTGAAAATATTGACTCATTGTTTGTGCGTTTATTACATGTGATGCATTGCACCTAGATGGCATGAAGTCACTGACCTTGACCACAATAAATTCTTGACAGTAGACGGCGAGGCTCTACAATATCCACGATTAAGCTAATTACATATTATGTAGAAAATTACTTAAAATATATATAATTTTACTAAAATACATCAAATCAAATCTTTAATCAAATCAAATTTGATTGATTTGTTCCTTTACTTTTACGCTGATATCTTGATTCTTGATTTTCATGATTCTAGGCCAATTAGAGGTTAAAAGGTTGTGACGAGGGAGTTTTCAAATATACATTCATATTACGTATAACAAAAATTCTCACTGACTGACTTATAAGCTCTCATATTTAGCTTTAAGGGCATTATCATTTGAATTTTGTCTTAGAAAAACTGGTACGTACACAGACAGACGGTTATACAACAGAGTGATGCTTTAAGGTGATTTATGAATAAGGTGATAAATTAGTTATTTTAAATGGTGCTTCCAATCAATGCTTTTTCAGCTGGTGGGTCGGTTACTTCTGCTACGGCCTGCGACCTCTACAGCTACACGTGAAGGACAGTGAAGGTGTCGAAGTGATGAGGATTGACCGCCCCTACGCGTGCACCGCCCGAGTGCTACCTTGTCAGTTGCAAAGGATACAGGTGTTTTGTACAATTGAATCAAAATAGTCGTTTTTCATAATTTTTTTTACTAAATATTGAATTTAATTTCGAATTTAAATTTAGTTTAAAAATAATTAATTATTCCTCTATTAAGGAGGGCTATTATGACTTAAAATTTAGGTACACCTCGATTGAAATAGTGTTGTAACCTATTATTAAAAAGAAATTTGCAAATAGCTTTAAAATTGGTAAATATGTCATAAAACATGCGTCTGAATTGAGTAGGTACTTTAGGTAGGTTTTTTAAGTCGGTCGAAAAATAGTAAAAAAAGATCAATGGGAATTGTGTAATTTTTGTTAGGTAATTTAGCTTAGGCTTAAAAGTATGCCTCGGAAACAAAAATATCTGTCATATTTAAAATATTTATATCATTTTAAAAGTATAAGTTATTTTTGTTTTTTTTTTTAAATATAACACAATTGGGGTATTGGCTATTGAAAAAAATATAGAAATTATATATAAGAGATAATTATTATAACGCATAATATTAAGCATGTCTACTAGTTTTTACAAAAAATTTTTTTTTTCAATTCACTTCAAATTTCTTATAAATGGCTTCAAATAAGGTATTTTCACCGCCGGGCACTCGAATAGGCAGTATTGAGCAGCAGTGGACACCGGTGAGACCCGAGTATGTCGTGAAGGGAGAAGATGGTCAACAGGTGTTTTGGATACGAGGTAGTTTCCGAAAAATGGTAATTTATTTTTCATTATATGTTTGCAATAAGGAAATAGGCTATTTTCTGAAATAAATGGTTTTTTTTTGCAAAATACCAAAATAATTTAGTACTACCCAGTAGTAGACTTGGTAAAGGAAAAAAAATTACTGCTTCGCTCGTGTCCTTTTAGTGTCTTTTCACTTTTCTTCTTATATTCCCTTGAACGATAATTCAAAAATATAAAATGGAAATAGGTAATATTTATAATTTTATAATTTATAGGTCCCTGCGTTACGATCACCTTCTTCAATGATATACAGTTCCATATATACAGAAACGATGGCACTGCTGTAGGCAGCACTAGCAAGCGCTGGCAAGGACTGTTCCACGCTATGTTCTTTGCACCCATTACTGACAGGTATTGTTGGAGACAAGATCTATATAACACTCTCAATCCAATAAAAAAAAGTAATTAATTTTAGTAATTTTTTCTATATTAAATTTTCGCAATTTAACCGAGTCATTTGAACTTTATAATGTAAAATTGTATATACTCTATACTTTATATTTCAAATATTTTTTCCGTCTATGTCACTTCTGAATTGTTAAAAAGTAACATTTCTTTTTACTTACCTATTTTTCAAAAAATCTTGAAGTGAAATTTTTGTCTAATTCAAAGTATTATTTTTTAATTAAAATACTAACATTTGTGCTTATAAGTTAATTTCGTATATACTCCGCAATATATTAATATTAGTATTTTTTTACTCTAAATTATTTCGCGGGCCCTCACAAGGGATTCACTGCAGTTATACTTATATAGGTACTATAAAAATATTCGACTCTCGACTTCGACTCGAAATTTCTGAACATACATAATTTGGGTTTGTAATAATATTAATTATTCTAGTATATTCAACATATACCATCACTAAAATCAAATATAATCAGTGGACTTAAACCATGCATCGTCTTAACATAAAAAAATAATATATTTTTGTTATAGATTCGGCGTTGCTTTCGAGAGAGACCTTTCTGTGACAGAGAAAGCATTGATTCTCGCCGCGACTTTACTTCTCGACTACATGTACTATGACGTGTGAATTGGATATTAAACACATATGTAAAAAAACATATTTACCTTTATTTATTTTACCTTCTTTAATGGAAAACTTACATTTATTTATATTTTATATGTTGATGAACAATTTATTCAAACTATTGGCAGTAACAAACTGTATAGGTCACATGTTTGTGAATGGATTTCTAAGAAACATTGAAGAGAGCTTCAATTACGTTTCACGAGAGGTAGCGTCATACATAAAATTATAATATAACTTATATTAGAAACACAAAACGTTTTTTTTAATTAGTTTAATTAGTAGTAAAGCGCGTAATTAATTCTGCGGTTAAGACTGAAGAAATAAACAAACATTTAAAAACCTCATTAACAGTACCTATTTGTCTGATATTCAAAATATTTAATAAACAATTTATTATATTATAGAAGTATTAGAACAATAAAATTAAGTAACAAAAACCTTATAAAATGCAATTTCGTAAAGATCGTTATGAATAATGGCCATAAACGAAATAATAAAAATCAAATACGATACTAAAGTCCAAAATGTAGAACAACGTAGTAACTTACCCTCTTCTATTACAGTTTATAATCCATTAAAAATATCCGTACATATTGAAATGAGGGGACACGTATTTTAAATGCGTTTTTCGTTTTTACACAAAAACTGCGTTTTCCCCTTAAAAATTAATGTCCTGCGCCCCTATTTGCATTGTGTTTAAACTTTTTTTCGCCGGCAGATGTCCAAAGTAAATGGCGCGAAATTTTGACAGAACATATAATTTTTGACAATGGCGGCCATAGACAAAAAATTCGAATACTCTTACCCTTTTTCCAAAGGATTGAATTCAATTACATCGTGACGAAAAAACTTGTAATAAAAGGGTTCTTTTACAGAAATTTGGAAAATGAGGGATTTGGCTTATTTAGGTCAGTGGGTGTTTAGTGAATTAAATAGTTTTTGTATTTTTTATGATATAAAAACGTGGCGCGCGTTTGTCGAAAGCAAGGGAAAGGAAAAAGCAAGGGTTTTTGACAATAGTGTTTTAGGAAATAATTTAGAGTTTTTTTTTTAGATTAATCTCGTGACGCATTACGTTTTTTGTGTAAAAAATAATTTTTGAAAGTATAAAAGATTGTAATGTCAAGAACATGAAATTATTTTGTGATTGATCGCACATTGTTATTTTTATAGACTTATAAATTTATGAGTTATTGTTACTATCTAGGCGAAAAAATAAAAAAATAAATAAATATCTAGTTTATAAAAATCTTTTAAAAATAAGTAAATATCTATCATAACATTTGTGAAATATAAATTATTATATTTTAATCATGATGGAATGGCATTATTTCAAAACAACTCCATTTTTGAAGAGTCAAACTTTTTTTAACTTTACTCAGATTTTAATTTTTTTTTATTAAAAGGCTCTTAATTATGCAAATATGAAAAAGCATTACCTACTTAAAACATTATTTATATAAGTCACTATGAGGAAAATAATATATACTTACGCAGTTAGAAGGCGTGTGTAATGCATCGCATTGTTATGCGCGTACGCATGACGCGTTGGTTATCTCACTAGTACCCACTAACTAGACAATATTTACTACACATACATGATTCATTTATTTCTGGTTCAATTTTGTTTGATACGATGTAACAGACGTCATATTTTTATAATTATTTAAAAAGTTATTTAATTAAAAAGTTTAAAACCTACTAAAGTGTGTCATAGCTTCACTTTTGATCATCAATTCAATTCTTTTGTGAATGGCTTTAAAGCGTGCCAGTTGAGCACAGATTACTTCGCCAATGTCACGTTAGAACGGAGAAGAAGTTTTGTATCTTATATGTTTCGTAAAGTTGGTATTTATATGTATTGAAGTGATTAAACGTATAGTAATGATTGAATTCTACAAAAACAAGCATTATTGCTATATTAACTTCTTTAAATTTTCAGTAATAGTATAGTTTTAAGGGCAAATTAAATTTCAACACTATTGTGCTGTCCGTGCTTTGAGAAAACACTTTACGAAAAGCGATTTAAAGAATAATCAAATCATGTCCTCCGTTTATAAATAGTTTTTTTTTTAAATAATAAACTGTAATAATACGAAAGCATTGAGAAAATAATAAATTTAGACTATGTCTGGTTTTTGAGGTATTTCATAAAATATGTAGGTACTTATAATTAACATTTACAAATTACTTCGAACTCTACATTTCTTTATTAATATAAAAAAATCATATTATTTAAAGTTATAAAAATTAAGCTTTATAAAGTTCAAAAATGCGTGTCGCCCTTCGACCGGGTTAACTCCGTGTTGACACCGAGCTAACCGTGTCGCGAAATGTTTTGCCATTATACTCTAACATTTAACCCATTTCTCTACAATTCCACTAAAAAAAAACAATTTCCCCAAAAACTTTGACAGATGCAAACAAAACGACCCCCGACACGCGTTAAAATCGACAGTTTTTTAATAAAACCCGATTTTAGCAATCCAAAGCCGACAGTTGACGCGAACATAATCTTTAATTAAGAATATTTTTTAGTGATTTTCGATTCAATGGGGTCGAAATTGTGTGATTTATTTATTTATAATTTTATTTGGTAATAGCGCGCGTCGAAGTACTGTTTGTCTGTTCACATTCCGTTTTTGTATTGTTGCATATTTTTTTACTGTTACATGTTTAAATGTTTGAAGGTATTTTAATATTGTCTAAAGATAATATACTATTAATATTATATATCAGATAAGAATTAGGAGAAGATAGTTTTAAAGTGGAAGTTTACGAAAATGAAGCATATAATAAATAAAACAACAATAGGCATATCAAAATAATAATTATTAAATAAAACTATCTTTTCGGAGTTCGGGAAAACGTCGGAAACCAAAAATCAAAATAAATCCGCGAAAAAATCAGAAAAGATAGTTTTACTTATAATGTTTTTATCTTAATTATAAATGATTAAACAAACTGTAATAAAGTTTAAGAAAAACTCTTAAGCTACTCGTGCTCTACGAAGTATTGGCCGTGCAGCGAAAGTAGGTACCTGCGACATTTTTACGTACGGCAAAATAATAATAAAAAATACAGAACACGTAGAAATACAATTGAATATCTATATTAGAAATATTTAGCGTGACATTCCACATTATAATACAATACGCCACACCGGTTTTACTTACAGCGGCCAAAACTTCGTAGTGTGTAGTCAAATATTTTTAAAGTCAATGAGCTTAAGCCATTAAAGACTTCTTCTATTATTCCTTGAACTAGTCTCAGGTCAAGATATAAATTAACTAATATCCTGAATGCAAATGTGTTTGTTTATTTGTAGATTGTTTTTGGTTTTTACAAATAGTTATGTTCTAAAATAGTTTGTGGGCTGGAGAGACACGTATTTTACTAGCAAGTCGTAGATGTTTTGATCCAGGTACTTTAAGTGATATCTTACAAAAAGCTACTAAATGACAAGTGGGGTGCAGTCAGGGCGAAGTGAGGGTGGGTCATAAGTGTGATAAATTTCTATAGAATTATAGGTAGCCATATATTTAGGCATACGTGATAGAACATACGTGACGCACGTCATGGTTTAATTAAGAGGAAAGTATTTAGTACGTTGGAAATCACCTCATAACATTTGTCTAAATTCAGGAAAATATAGTCCATGCGTCATAAAGCCAGAATATATACTATATAAAATTGTATTTTTATATAGGCAACACTTAAAAAAAAATTAAATATCCTGTTGCTGCTTATAGTAACTGTTTTATTTCTTTTAAATAAATGAGTTCTCGATGCATTTTTTCTATTTTACATGTTTTCGTTTGTGAACTCATTGTAATGATTTTTTATAAGAAAGACCATATTAGAAGTTATCTCCAACAAATCTAATCATACTAATATTATAAATGTGGAAGTTTGTGAGGATGGATGTTTGAATGTTTGTTACTCAATCACGCCAGAACGGCTGTACGGATCTAGATAAAATTTGACACAGAGATAGATTATAGCCTGAAATGGCAGGTTATTTTTTATCCAGAAAAAATATACGGTTCCGGTAGGCTAGATTTGTTTTTGTCTAGGGACGAATCCGAAGCGTATTGAGTCGCTAGTTTTAATATAAAAATTACTTTAATTTTTATAAGACATAGCTATTTAACCATTAGAGTGAAGAGAAAGGTTAATAAATAAGTATAACACATTTGTATATTTAATTTATTGAATACGGTAGAAATGTTTCGTAGTAATGGAAAACAAATAACAAACAGACGGATCTAGGAACATATACCGATCGACAACCTCGCTTATCACTTGTATATAACCGACTAAAATATATTAGTACAATGATATTCTGTCACTATTGTTAATAACAACACAATAACTAGGTATATATGTATATATATATATATTTATTTGTCATTTAAAATTGTTTTAGCTGCGATCGAATTCATATAAATTAGAATGAAATGTGCTTGAAAATGCCTAGTCTTCATCAATTTTTAAAAAGAGACAATATTATAGTGTAAAATAGTAACTTTTCGTCTGCTCTGTTTTTTCTTAGATTAAAAATAATTTAAAAGATTTTTATATTATATTAATTAATTACTTACGTTTTATTGTAAAGTTTGAAAGAAATTAATTATTTGGTCTTTTCCTTTATCTCCTTACACAATTTTTAAATATACAGAAAATATTCATATTTTTTATACCATGGCAAGTGATAAGCAATGTTACGGTTTAAGATTTGGCTTCCACCCAAAGCCAATATATAATTCTCTTTATTTTTTAATATAATTTAACCAACGTGGACGTCTACCGTTTTGATTCAATGATTATTTCACATTTGTACATCGTTTTCGAAAATTTTTATTCTATTTTTATCTAAAAATATTAAATAGTGTTACCCTCCTTTAATATTTATGGCAACACTCAGCGATTAGGCCAAGGACATCCACATCGGCGAAATCAAAATAATTTTGACTAGAAATAACACAGTTTTCATAAAATTGAAAAAATATTACGATTTCTTATATACAGTCGCACGAAAAGCAAAAAATATTATGACTAGAATACACTTACAAATAAATAAAAACCTACTACTTGGAATGTGACTGGAATTGATGTTTAGTTTGTTTCATGTCAAAATTTACTTGTTATTTATAATAATTAACCTCTAAAACATATTCATTTTGACATCAAACCAACTATTATTATATCTACATAATTTGACAGCTCTTCAAAATAATGGGTCTATTTCCGCCAGCGAAGTGACGATACCAAGTACTTTTACGTATTTTGTTTGAATTTATTTACATTATTTAACCAATGATAAAACATCTGAATTCAGTTCGTTTTAGATATTATTAATATATTATTTTTTATATATAAAATTGTATAAAACTTAAATTATAAATCGTCCCGTACATATAAAATTTTTGCGTATAAGATAATGCTTAGTAAAAATAAATCTAATTATTTTACTCAATGTACAATATAAATGTAATTAAACAATTTATTTGTACTAAGCAATACCCGAAAATGCTGTTTTGAAAATTATTAAGAAAACCAACGAACTATTTTTAGTTCGTTGAAGAAAACTATTTAATAAAATCATTTATAGTTGTCAATTCTAAAACCAAAAGAAATGGTAAGCGATTGCTGTTGAAATATCAAAAGAACACAATTTAACTTAGAATTTTGCTTATTATTCAATAGGTATAGTTGAGAAAACAACCAATAGATCTTTTAAAAGAGATATTTAACAAAACGAACGATAATGTAGTGCGACTGTAACACTGTGTAGGAGCGTTGTACCCGAGCGCTCTCTATGTCTAAATTGTTGTAGTCACTCCGACTTAAAATTAATTTGTACTGTTATTTTTATCACCGTTGTACTTCTGCCTAAATTTGTACTTGCAATCATTATATCTATAAAAATTATTTGTAAACTGTCTCGGCGTACAACGCTAAGAACGCAATCCGGAACACAAGTTATTCGACTACATTCATTACGATCCGTACACCTATTTAAACTCCAGGGGACTTATTCTTTCTTATGCGACATCAATAATAATAGCTTTCCTCTATTTTCTTATATTAACAGAATATTAGCTTCCTATGAATATACCTATTATATGAACAAAGTGTGGAACAATGGTAAATATAAATTATTTATAGATAATTAACTCGATTTAATGTCTAAAATTATCGCATAAGTCAAAATTCGTCGCCAAAACAGTAAAAACTTTGCGCCATCATCTCCTTAGTGGACGCACACTTGGAGTTTAAATAGATTTGGAGATCGTGACCACGCGTACATTTTTATTAAATTTGTTATTATTTAAAACATTATTAATATAATTTGTTGTATCGCGCGCAAGCGTGTCTGCTCTCGACCGGGCGCGGGGGAAGACCATTAGGAAGTTTTGAATTAAAAACTAAATCTGAGGAACTTTAGTATCAGGAACATTGCGAGATATCTACAATTGGTTATATAGTTAGGTTATTTATTTATCATCTATTTTTAGCTTTACCCTGATCTTCGATCACAATTGTACTATCAGGTAGCCAGTCCTCGGTCGAGAGCCGTCCCGCGAGCGACCTCTAGAATTCATTATATTACTTCTTACTTACATACATAGGAACTTTCTTTAGAAGCTGCATGGTTTATACAAGCTAACCTCCACAATGATCTACCAATAATGAATTTAAATAAACCTGTCTTCAAATAAGGTTTTTATCAATATAATATATAATAATAAATTTTGCACAGTGTCCTGTTTGTCTGTAAAGCCATTTTTTGTTTAGTAGTGTCGATAAAACATACTTATTATATTAAAATTAATTATAATAATTTAGTAAATATTTAACTCGTGGTGATCTCTTTGTACACCCGCTTAGGAATATGTTTTAAAGCTTTGTTATTGTAATTTTGTCTTTGAAAATTGTATCAAAAGCACATAACAATTCACTAATCAAATACAATTCACAAGACCATTATTATCTTACTTCTTGATTAACAACCTCATACTGTACATTTAAGGTATGGTGTGATGGCACCATAGACAAACAAGACACGTCCGCTGTAACATATTAAGTTATAAATCACTAGAAATAGATATAAAACGTAAAGCCCGGCCAACGACTGGAGGCGGGAGGAAGCTCAGCTCGCGCCCGCCGCAACAATGACCCGTATGATGTGTAGCAACAACGCGCGGCCGGGCTGCACGGCACATATATACGGCTATCAGATTATGCTAAGTTACGTTTAATGTTGATCACTGCCCACTAGTACGTATTTTGTGCTTAAGTCACTCCTAGACAACAATAAATAGTATCGAGCTAACACGAGCGCGGTCTCCGTCCGCGGCGCAACCTTTGTACTCCAGTGTAACTTCAAAATATAGTATTTATACAATAACAGCTTACGAAACCTAACGTGAGGTAGAGCGGTTGTCGCAGTACAACTAACGTGGCACCTAGTGTGTAGGCGTACTCGGCGCGAGGCGCTCAGTGATCAACATCGCACCGGCACCACGGCGTGACCACTCGTGGTGCACAGTGCCCACTCACCGAATACGTATCCTTTAAATAATAATAACTAATCCTAGGGTGTATTTCTTCTCCCGATCGAAATCGACGTTTCAAAAACTCGTCTCGGACCGACCCAACGTCGAGGAGATAATAAGTAAACCGATTCATAAGCGGCAACGTTTCATATATCACCCGTGAATATAATTCTCAATATACGAAGTTAGACTCTGTCAAAAAAAGAGGGCGGGGGCCGCCTCGCGGTGGAGCGCTCGGGCGGGCGGCCGCGGACAGCTCCTCGGGAACGATCACATCTATCTCTCGGCGATCGCTCGAAGGCACACAGCGTTAAATGTAGTCAGTACGGCGATCGAGCGCGCCCGCGGGCGGTGTAGTCTTCGGCCGCGGGCGCGCGCGGGTCGGGCCGGGGCCGGGCGGGGCCGGGCCGGGCTAGGCGGGCGTCAGCGTGAGCGTGACGGTGGCGCGGCGCGTGGCGCGTCGCCGCACCGGCAGGAACACGAGCGCCGGCAGCAGGCTGAGCGCGCCGCCCGCCTCCTCCAGCACGAAGGGCTGCATGGTGAGCGGTGCTCGCGGCGCGCGTGGTACCGCCAGCAGCGCGCCCGCGCCCCCGTGCGCCGCCCGCACGTGCGCCTCCAGCGCCGCAAACCCTTCCGCGCGGAACTCACAGCGCGAGCACGAGTACGCGTCTCCATCACCCTCCAGCTCTCCCCCAATGTCGCCACTCTCACTGGGCTCTTCAGCGGCGACCTCCCCTTCTGCCTCGCCACTCTCCATCTGCTCGTTGGCGCGCTGCACATGCGCTCTTTCATGCGCGAACAGGAAAGCGAGGACGTCAGTAGTGAAGGGGCAGTACGCGCAGGCGTAGGGTTTATCTCGTGCGAGCAGGTCGAGCGGCCGCGGTGGCATGGGCGGGGGAGGCGGTGGTCTCGTTGGTGGGGCGTGCTCGGCCAGCAGGTGTGCTCTGAGCGCGCGCGGCCCTCGGAAGCGACGAGCGCACAGCGGACATGGCTCGGCCGGTGCGGCGTTGGCGGGCGCGGGTGGTGCGGGGATGCCGTGTGTATTGTGCTTATGGACTCGAAGGAAATATTTACTGCAGAGCTCCTTGTGACAAATATCACACGTCACGCCACCGAGCTGTGTTCCACTTTCTAATGAAATTCCATGCATCCGCTGCATGTGGGTTCGCATAAAATACTTATTGCAGAGTTCTTTATTACATATTTCACAAAAACTTGACCCTGCGCCGCCGCCCGACCTTCGCTCATCTTGAGGTGGCGGTGAGGAGGAGGGTGGTCGCGGCGCTTCGTTCGGCTCCTCGGCTAAGCGTTCCGCTGCGAGCTCGTTAAGCTGTGATATCATCGTCTGGAGCTTGCGGAGTTCCTCGCTCGCTGAACCCGGGGACGCAGCACCGCGCTCTTCTACAATCAAATTTAAAGGGCTCGTTTGACCTTCACGCAAAACAGCCTCAAAGTCATCTCGATCTTCTCTTTCTCGCTTTACTTCGATTGGTTCTTCAATATCGAAAGGTGGCGGTAAGGAAAGTGACCTCGGAGGCGTAGGCGCAGACGGGGATGATGAGTGCGGCGTGATCATAGGAGGCGTGGCCGCAGCTGGTGATCGTTCCGCTACCGGTGACCGCTGCATGGGGACGCCGTGCCTTCGTTCCCGATGTGTTCTCAAAAAATACTTATTGCAATATTCTTTACAACATATTTCGCAAAAGGCTTCTGGATTAGTTACACCCAGTCGCCGAAGGACGTCTGGCTGGAAAGCGGCTTCGCGAGCGCGTCTTGCTGAGTCTGGTGACAATCGACGGGGCGTTCCGCCGGACTCCTCGTCGGACGCTCGCCGCGGCGGTGAAGGCTGTGGTGGATTGGGGAGGTTGAGATGCGGCTGCTGCTCACCATCATAGATACCGTGTTTGTTCGCTCTATGAGTCTTCAAGAAGTACTTGTTACAGAACTCTTTACAGCAAAGATCGCAGTAGGCTTCCGGATTGAAGATTCTTGGGGGGTCGTGTCTGGGTAGAAGGCGGAAGGCGGCTAGAGGATCGAAGGTGGGGAGAGTGAGTTCTCCGAAGGCCAGCGCACTTTTGTATATATCAGCCATCTTCGCGTGGAGATCCAGCGGTGGAGGCTGGGCTCGGGCTGGAGCGGCCTGCTTGCGCCTCTTCCGTCCAGGGCTGCCACCACCGTCGCCCTCCCCCGCTCCCACCACCCCGCCCCCGCCCCCGCTCGCACAGTCGCGCTCGCGCTTTACCGCCGGCGCCACCGACATCGCGTCACCGCCGCATCTGGAATTGAAAAAAGACGATGTTAGGTTACTCGATCAATTAAGGTTTATTAAGGAAACACATTATTATCAATTAACGAGTAAAATCAATTATCCGACTCATTGTATAGCTAGAGATAAGAATCTACTTTTACTATTTTATTGAATGCTATAATTCAGTTGTAAATATAGTTCTATATAAAGCTAAAACTAAAAAATTGGCATAAAATATTAAATTTTATGTGCATTTAACATCCATATTTTTTTATTGACCAAATATATAGATACTTGACATTGACGTAAGTTCATTTCGATCAGTAAATTCTATTTTTGGGACAATTTAAGACTGGATCCATTATTTTTTCTAACGATTTAGTACTTGAATGAGGAAAAATGTTACAAAGTCCAGGTAAAGCAACCATTACTCACAGAAGTCACAGACCGCCTGAGGCAGACCTCGTAATTTTAAAAGATTATTTTAAGTTCACTCCAAATTATTTTCGTACGATACACGTGCCTATATCTGTAGAAAAAATGGGCTTTATGTAAAACTTACTTAGATTTATGTGCAGTAGTAAGGAGTAAAGTCATTTCTTGTATTTTAATGCTATATCTTATAAGAAGTACGCTCTAATATATTATGAAAAACGTATGCAATGTATATGTAATAAGTATCTAGATTCTCGTATATCTGCTTACTGTTAAAATTTCGTTAGAAGTCTCAGTTAAGTAAAAATGATTCTTAGGTGTATTTTTTACACCTTTAAAGGAATTAAATGACAAAGTATTGTTTTTTTTTGGAAATTTCTCCATCTACACTAATATTATAAAGAGGTAAAGTTTGTGAGTTTGTAAGGTTGTAGGGGGGTAATCTCTGGATCTACTGAACCAATTTAGATGACATTTGGTAAGAAGATAATTTGAGACCCTGAGAAGGACATAGGATACTTTTTATCCCGGAAATCATCCCTTAAGGGAGTGAAAATGGGGGTAAAAGTTTGTATGGGGAATCAACCTAGCAAAGCGAGGGTGAGTCGGTAGTATATGATAACTTCGTTATAATTTTGTTAATTAATTTTTATGGACAAAAAAATTACACAAAATTTTTTGATGAATAAATTATAGTAAGAAAAAATAACGTTTTGTAGTATTAATTTTCGCAGTATTAATTTATAAAAGAACATATAAGTTATAAAATTTAAACAAGAATAAGGTAATATATTTAATTGAACTTTGTATAGTCAATTATTAATTTATTTTTTTATTTTAACGCCTCTCATATGCAACAAGTAACTAATTTAGTCAAAAAATTTTTTAGGCAGTCATACTTTAGTATAATCATTAATCATCCTATAATATAAAGTGCTTGCTTTATACTTAAAGGAGGAATAAAAATTTAAAATTATTTTCAACCTTTGCTTGATTACTATATATTTTTATGATACAAAAGCCAAACAAGAGTTTAAATTTAAAGTGTAAAAATTTCAAAATTAACGAAAACAAAAACATAACGATCGATATAACATTAATACTTATTACTTAGTGGCCAATAATAAATATTTATCGCAATTCCATTCACACGGTACGTCAAAAAGGTTTATGTAATTCGAATAACATACACTCATATCAGTAATCGAATTTTGCAAATCGTCATTCAATAATTGCTAAATATAAAGAAACACATTTTACCCCTTTATACTAGGTTAATAAGATATAGAATACATACATTCTCTATAACAAACTACTAATTCGTCAACCCTATATACATTTCTTGACAACCTCAGACATAAAAAGTTAGGGAACAGCTGTCTTTAAAATATTGTAACCCAAAAAGGATTCCAATAAGAATATCTCACCTCTCGTTATCTCTGAAATCGATTCCGTCCATCATTTGTTCACAACACTATCTTATCATCGTCACTTTATAAAATAACTGACTTTCCAACACTCAGCCAAATGCTCGAATTCACACGGTTAATATTATTTAAAATTAAAAGTTTTATCACAATATTTATTAAAAAGTTTGAAATTGGCGTAAACTTTTTTTGTATGTCGTGGTATGTGTGTATAGACTGCGATTTATGCCTAGTTGTATGGCACGTGCTGCCTGCGCGTGCGCTCAAAACTACTGTATTTTACGTAAAAACGCCTATAATGTACTTTTTTTGTGGAAAATAGCAAAAATCTCACCCCACCCGGCCACCCCTACGACATTCGTTTGATCAGGGGCCGGTGCATTAGATAAGATTAGGGTTACATGTTGACATAGAGTGTTTAATGTTAAAATTTTTGAATAACCAGATATAAGACAGAATGGGTATTGCTAACTATAGGGAATATAATATGTTTGATACTCAATACTCTATTTTTGTCTTCATCAAATTAAGACAAAGTACGTTGACTTTAATTATTAAAAAGTGTTATTATAAAAATATATGTATATAGTAATGTCTTACGAGCAATTTTTGAGTCACACAAATTTATTTAAATCACCAAACATTTTTTTTAAATTTCAATATGAACGTGAACTACAAAATAAATTCGTCGCATGTAAACCATACCTTACAGCAAACAATACATGGCTTTCCTAAAATTTGGAAACACTATCGAAAGGGCGAGGCGCTCTGCAAATATCGCCATCTCTATCTAGCACATAATAAATTCACACATCCATCTCGCTCTATCATACACATTTTTCGTCTCCTTCCCACAATTATGATTAAGAGTAATGGCGTAATAAATTTAAGTTCAGCTTTCTTAGAAAATATTTTTTTCACGTTTTTTTTTCTTCTAACGAAAAATACGGCGAAAGTTTGATATTATTATTTGGTTTATAAACAAACTGCGGCGAGCCCGTTGGCGCCTTTTTTCATTAGCCATGTTTTTTTCCGCGCAAGTAAAAAGTTTCTTATTAACTTCAAAAACAAGTTTAATTACATCGGGAAATGTTATCGATGTTATTAGAGTTTCCTACGTCTGTGTATGTGGGAAGGGTTTGGGGCAAATATTTTATATCTCTAACTGATTCGAAACAATCGATTTTCAATTTACTGAAAAATTGAATAATTAAATTGTTCATGTGAATTAAATAATAAATAAATATATTATGCTAGCGACTTATAGACGACATCAACGACGACCCTATGAACAAAAGAATAACCGGTGCTACTCCAGATCATAATATATATTATACAGATATTATATAAATATATACAATAATTTAGAATTGCTAATTGCTAAGCACTTGTCTTTTCTATCCGCTCAAAATATTTCTGTTATCGATTCTTAAAAAAAAGATCTAAAATCGATTTATATTTGGCGATGCTATCACGAAATTTGTGTATACAAATAAACATACGACCGAATTTATAACCTGTCATCCTTTTAGAGTTGGTTAAAAAATTAGGCAAGTTTTATTATAATCATTGAAATAAATCTAAAATAGCTTGGCCTCCCCGCTCTACGCGCTACCGTACAAATGGGGGGTCAAGTACTGACTATATTAATTTACTTGAACTGCCTTGGTGGTGTAGTGGCTAGCATGTACGGCTGCACACCCGGAGGTCCTGGGTTCGACTCCCGGGTCGGGCCAAGTTTAGTTATTGAGTCTTTCTGTATATTAAGCCTCAGTAATAGCCCGGAGTTGGGAAGATGGCGGTGTTTCACCGCCGTGCCTCGGAGAGCACGTAAAGCCGTCGGTCCTGCGCCTTAACTCTCACTGGTCGTGTCGAGTGGTCGTCCCACCGGAGTATGAGAGTGACAGGAATAGAGAGTGCAGGTTGTGTCTGCGCGTACACTTGAGCACTATAATATGTCCTGCGCAGTTGGCAAGTCTCAATGAGATTGGCCGCCGTGGCCGGGATCACTCAGGAGAACATCAATATTAACTTATAATTTCAGTGTCGATCTTTGTATAAATATTCATTATATGGTGTAAAAGCAAGTCATAAAAAAATATTATTATTTACACTCGAGTGATGTGCATAAATACAATCAGGGATCAAAATAAAAACAATGTTTAAAATTTAAGATATCTTCAAATACAAGTACTATCATTACATTGTATATTTTCATTTTAGCCACCATCATAGATACATCCAAAACCATACAGCAGTTCTCTTCAACTTTTAATCTGACAGGCAAAAATATTGTTAATGTAATTTCTTTTAGCTGTAATAACTCGCTCGCTTTCACAATTATTCTATAGGTACTAACTAGCATTGCCCGCGGCTCCGCCCGCGTTCAGATGACCAAAAACCAAATTCTTAGGTTTGACATATTAGTATACTCTTACAATGCAGTTTTTGTATTTTTTCTCAAAAATGAGATATTTTTCCGCGGTAAAAAGTATCCTATATGTTGACCTGGATAACCGGCCATCACCATACCAAATTTTATCAAAATCCGTCTAGTGGTTTTTCTGTGATGCGGTAACAGACAGACAGACAGACAGACAAAAAATTCTAAAAACTATAGATTCAGCCTCTGTAACGATAATACTGTCTATTTCAATAAGATTTTCCAAAAAATATTTTAATGTACAGATTCGGCTTAGTTACAATTTTATTATATGTATGGATATTTAAAAAAACTGGCGGAATCGGAAGGCAGACGTCGTCCTGTCACATACCTCGTTTGTTCGAATAATTAAAAAAAAATTAGATCTCGATAGCACCGTTAAATATAGCTAAGTACTATCCCAATAAGTACAAAAAATCATCGAAATCGGCCTAGCCATTTAGAAAGAGTAAAATACGAACAGACGTACACTAAAATTTTATATACCTAAAGGTTACAGTAACTTTAAGCTTTTGTTGCTTTTTTAGATTTACCCAAATATTTAACATTTTAAAATAAAACATTTATTTTTTTTATTTTTTGCTATGATTGCTGTAATGCATTCGAAGCGTCAGGAACCAAAAATCTAAATAATACGCGAAAAGATCTGGAAAAAATATATTTAAAACTTTATGCCAGTTCAATTTTTAATCTATACATATAATAAAATTCTGAGACGAATCTGTACATTAAATATTTTTTGGAAAATCTTATTCAAATAGTCACAATTATCAATACAGAGGCTGAATCTATAGTTCTTAAATTTTTTGTCTGTCTAACGCATCACGTGAAAACCACTGGACAATTTTTGATGAAATTTGGTATGATGATAGCTAGTTATCCGGGTCAACATATAAGGATACTTTTTACTGCAGGAAATTATCTCATCTCTGAGAAATGTATACTAAACGTTAAAACGAGGGTGAGTCGTTCGTTTACATATGTATAAATATTGTGTGAAAATAAATTATAACGAACTGTATATATGGATGGAAGAAAAAACTGATGATGTAATAGTATTCAATATCCAATAACAAGGGTATAATATAATAAAGGTTTACGTTTGACATTTACAAGGCCCCGCGGACTTCCATAAATGTCGCGGCCGTACTTTACAAGTTACAATTTGTAAAACAAAGTATATTAGTCGTTTTACAAAATTATTTCTTTTATTTTCACGGTCAAATGATATGTTAGAATACTGTATTATTTAATTATTCTAAACTATTTAAAAATACGGGATCTGTACACAAACTCATCACTTATTTGACCTTTTTGAGGTATGAATTTTCAAAATCGTCCTTAGTTTCGAGACCTAAGCTTAGGTTATGCGTCGATTTAAAAGTTTAGGGAGTTTAGGTTCGTAATTTTAGATTGTTTTATTCGATCTCTTTTAAAACAATTTTTATTATAGTTATTGTAATAGGTACTTAATACTACAGAGTGCCTGAACCCTATGTGCCTATTGAATTTATAATATTATACACAGATATCACCCTAGGTCATAATCTAACTTTGAACTAAATTTCATGAAAATCTGTCCAGCAACTTAATCATGAAAGAGTAACATACATACATTATTACATACATACATTGTTATTTCTTACAAAATGAAAGAAATATCGATTATTTTCTTTACATTTGTACGTAACTAGTCTGAAAAAGTTAAACACCTGTTATCGATTCACCTGACCTCAGTTAAAAATAAAGCCAATTTCTATGGATTATTTAATTTCTTGTTACTCATTAGGCGATAAGCCTTTAAATTACTTAACGTGCTCAATGGTTTGAGCTTAGTCGTTAAAGTTTAATTGGGCTTACATTTTTATTAAGAAATATATTATGTTTCACGAAAGTCCTCATGGCGCAATGGGAAACGGAAGAGTCAAGTTCGATTCCCGTAGCACGCAATTTTTTATTGTGGTCATAGTAATTACGGACGGTAATAGGAGCTGGCAAGGTGTTTTTATAATTAATTGTAGAGAATAAGTTTATTTACTCCAATTATGATATTTTTTTCTAATGTTTTTTTTTAATTTCTAATGTTTTTTTTAATTTCTAATGAAATTTTCCTAAAAGAGAACATATTGAATCACTTGACTGTTCTCCACATTATACCGATATCAAAACACGCTACACCGTTCAACAATGTACGAGGTAAACATCAATATCTTCAACCCCTTACAGGAATCGAATATGTGTACCTATAATATAAGTCATCTGTTTACATATATTTAATATAGAATTCAAAATATCATTTTTTAGGTCACAAACAAGTTATTCTATTACAGTAACAGAATATATATCACGAAAGAAGCTAACATTCGCAAAAACTCCATCGTATAAACTATTTACATTCACAATTACATAAGCCTTGGAAACATCCGAATTTCGAGTGCTATATTTTTACGAAGTCGTTAAGTTTGAAATATCGGGGAACCCCCACCCCCGGTACACCCCCTCAAATAAAAAAGGCACATTTTAAAGGCCCGGCAATGACATGCGGGCGCCGCGCTGGCGGAATGCGTAGAGTCGCTAGTTACGCAATATTTG